GGAAAAGAGTAAGTGGTAGTGGCCAAACAAAAACATGGCCTCATCAATCCATGAAATCCTTGACAGTTAAACTGAGTCAGGTAGGGAGGGAGATGCAGACTTCCGAGTTGGGGCCCGTCCTCGGGACTCTAAGAATCAATGACTGGAGACACTAGGTGACATGGCTCAAAATCGTTGTCAATGGCTTACGTAGATGTATTCAGTCTCTGTAATCTTTCATATTCCTTTCTACCATTACTCATTCTGTTCCACTCTTATGCTTGTCAAAACTATTGATTCTCTTCACTCATCCATCTTCTTGTCTACCTTTGTGTGGTATTTGGAACGTGGCAACTCGAAGTGCTGCACTTCGGTGCCAAGTTCTATGTTGAATCCAGCCAGCCAGCCAGCCTAATGGATGATGCTGTTATGAACAGCAGACCACTATTAGATTATTATGTGTTTGTTTGTGTGTGTGTTTGTGTGTCTATTGTAAACTCCAATAGTTTTAGTATGCAGGGATTTGATTGGGTACGCATTTAGTCACCAACGGACATCACTTAGAGAACTATTGGAGAGTACTGGAGAGCTGTTTCGTCAGCCACTCTTCAGCAGTACTCATCCACTGGGGGAAGGCTCGTACCCGGGACATTCAGGTCACAAGGTGGGCTTATAGACCTTTCGACCACTTGGACAGGATTCGCTGGCTCATGAATTCCAATTACTGCCATTTTACGATATATATATGTGTATAGTACAATCGCCAGACAATGTCCATAGACGAGTGATTGTTGTCTTACCTGACTTGGTAGTGGACCCAGCTGGTGGTTATGACTTTTCACTAGAATTCCAGGTAACTTCTTGTATATAATAAGGCCAGTCGCTATTGAGTATCAGATACTAATGATGAAGTGTTGGTTTGATTACGAGGTATTTTTTTATTGACATGCTGTAAGGAAGAAAGTGCGTCTATTGTTTGAAGTCTTCAACTTCACTGTCTTTCTTTTCTTACTTATTATATGACTGGTCTAGTATTGTCTATATGCAGATGATATAGTCCTTCTAGGCGATGACGCTGACAAAATGCAAAGTTTTCTGAACGCCTTGAGCTGCACTCTATGAATGTTTGGCATGAGATTTGTTGCCGCCAAATGTAAGATTATGTTACAGGACTGGACTACACTGACTCTTAGTTTAGAAATAGGGACTGAGGTGGTAGAGCACATTGACCGCTTCACTTATTTGGGAAGTACCATCAGCCCCAACGGGTTGATCTTTGACGAAATCTCAGCACGGGTATAGAGGGCTAGTTACGCATATGCCAGTTTACGCTGTCTCTGGCTTAGTAGACGTGATATCCGACTTTCGACCAAAGGGCGTGTGTACTGCTCAGCAGTCTGCTCGGTCCTCCTTTATGGCTGTGAGACCTGGCCATTGAGAGCGGAAGGCATGAAAAGATTAGCTGTCTTCGGTCACAGGTGCCTGAGTTCTATCTCCCGTGTGAAGTGGTATAATAAGGTGAGCGATATTGAGGTTAGGAGTGAGTCGAATGCTAGGTAAGGAGGGGAAATCAGTCGACGAGACTGTTAAATTACATCGACTGAGATGGTTAGGACATGTGTTACGTATGCATGAGTAGTCATCGCCTTCCTCGACTGATGGGCAATGTTAACTGGCATATGGTCAGACTGGAAAACATCTAGCGGCGGTCAAACCAAAATGGCTTCATCAGTCAGTGAAATCCACAACAGTTAGTCTAAGCCATGTAGGAAGGTGTAGACTTCTGTCTGGTTTGGGTCCTCGGGAGGGTAAAAACCAATGGCTGGAAACAATTGGTGACATGGCTCAAACTCATCGTTCTCAATGGCTAGCGCAGATGCATGCACTCCTTGTGACTTATGATTTCCAATGAAACTGTTTTGTTCTTCGTTATTACTATTCCTTTGTCTCACACTTCTGTTTTCTGTCTATATTATGCATTTCTCCTACTTTCTTCTCTTGGTTTGTGTGGTACATGGAGGGAGTGTGGCGACTTGAACTGCTGTACATCGGTGCAAAGTTCTATGTCGAATACAGACAGACAGACAGACTTACTACTGAATTTATGATGCTAGCTGCCTTTGACTCGTGTTAATTACTGTAATATGGTAGATAATATTGAGGTTAGTAGGTATAGCTTGTTACTTTGGAAGGGTTAGTAAATGGATAAGGTTTTGAAACCCACATCGTCGATTTAGATGGCTAGGAAATGTGCTACACACTCAGCGCTATCTCATCATTGAAAGTTGGAAAAGAGATTGACATCAGTTCATGAAAGTCTTTAATAATTGGTATGAGCCGTGTAGACAGGTGTAGACAGCTGTTTGATGGAAGTCTTCAGGACGCTAATAATCAATGGCTGAAGACTATTGATTTTTTTCCTTCCCGTTCCCCAGTGGAACATAGAGCTTCAAGCTAGTGGCTTGAAGTTTTTGTAGCAGTGTTTATTTTACAGGATTGGGTTGCTAGCTTCATGCCCAACCTTTCCTCTTTACCAGCATTATTTTTGGCTTAGCAAGGTAAAGGAGTGCGTCGGTGGCCGGGGATCGAATCCCGGACCATGTGAATGGTCGGCGAGCGTCCTAACCACTATACCACCGACGCGAAGACTATTGATGATATAGCTGAAAGCTGTTCTCAATGTCCCCTATGTTCTGCTATGCTTTCTTTCTCTCTCTCACATATCTGTTCATTTATACTCCTTTTAAATATCTTCTCTGCAAAGTTCTATGTTGGAAAACTCTCTCAGTAGTAAGTAAGTTTTGAAAAGAAGAAAATTTTTTTTTTCGAATCTCAAAGAAATGTGTTGCTTATACTTGTCTACTATTATCTGTTGTACATTTTCATAATTATATTAAGTGGTTATTATCAAAGTTTGGATCCTCCTAAGTTCTTGTTCTTTTGCAGCATAAACAGGGTTTTTATTCACTTATTTGGTAGCATTAATCACTTCACTGTATATTCGCGCGCGAATTTCACCTTTAAGCGTTGTTCATTTTCTTGTCTTGTTTCCTTTTTCTTGTTGTTGTTGTAGAAGAACCACCAAAGTGTTTTCTCAGCCAAAGTCAGTGATCACTTCAGGTTGTGAAGCTGTCTTAATCGATGCAATGCGACTTATCATTTCAGAGTTGTCACGTTTTCCTACAGAAGCGGCTAGTCCAGGACGACAAGCTGCTTGTGCTGGAGTTCGTGCTTTCCTTCATCGTATGGTGGCTTGTATTATGCCATCGTCGGCATCACCATCATCCGCACCAGGTGAATCTGGGAACACCAACAGCTCTGTAACTTCGGATATGTTATTGGCTGCACTTGTAGACGCTGTACCCCAACTGGTTAAACCCTTACGATCTACTACAAGCTCATGTTATAATGGTGGTAGTAGTCATCAGTTATCGGATATTATGGTGGATGCTGAACAACGTTGGAAAGAAATCAGAGATGTTATACCACTTGTTACACAAGTACTACTCAGATATAAGGTATGCGATAACGGATTATTTATTTTTTTCGAAATGTTTTGTAATTATTTATCAACGGTAATTTGTCATTATTATTATTATTATTGTTTCCTTTAATTCCTAGAGGAACATAGGGCTTCAGCCGTGCGTCTCCATTCCGTTCGGTTCTCTGCTAGAGTCTTCACCTGGCTCCAAGTTTGCCCACACGTTTTCATCTCCTCTTCACATGACCTCCTCCAAGTCACCCACTCTTGCACTGACGACCAACTCACCGCTTCCCTTTCGGGTTCCACTTGAGCAATGGCCTGTCTTGTGATGTCACTTGATGGTTTGTTTCCTCAGAGTATGGCCAGCCAATCCATCTCCATTTCTTCCTGCCTATTTGTTTCACAATCGGTTCCTTCTCGGTTGGTTCGCTCATTACCAGAGATCACTCTCTGTTGCTGATCTTTTCTGACCGGCCATCTGATCTTGAGTGTTACTGAGCGAAGACAACTGTTAATGAAGGTCTGTAGTTTGTTTGAGATGCTCTTCATGATGTGCTGGCCATGTCTCTGATCCGTATAGTAGCACTGACTGACTTCACATTGGAGTTGAAAATCCGGATTTTATTTTTGAAGCTGATTAGTGCTGTTGACCTCCACACAGACTTGAGAGTAGTGAAAACTTGTCTAGCTTTTTCGATTCTTGCTTTGATATCCTCATCAGTTCCATCCGCCTGTAGTTGAAATGATGCTTCCCAGGTAGGTAAGTGAAGGGGATTTCTTTCAGATGTCTCTTATTTATGCTGATTGTTGTCTGTTGTTGTTGCTGCTGTTGGTGTTGGCCAGGAATCTTCATCACCACATCTGTTTTCTCTATGTTCACCTGAAGTCCTATCTTTGATGCTTCTTCCGCCAACTTGTTGCTTTTCATTTGCATATCTTCCGGTTTGTGGGAAATCAGGCATATATCATCGGTGAAGTTCAGATCCTCCAAGTTTTTTGTGTGAGTCCATTTTATGCCTGTTTCCTCATTGCCCGGCCCGCTGTCTGTCTGTCGCATTATCCAATCTACTGCAATCAGGAAAATCATTGGCGATAGTAGGCAGCCTTGTCTTACTCCTGTCCTCACTTCGAAGGATTCCGTAAGTTTCCCGTTGTGGATTACTTGGCATGCACCATTGTCGTACAACTGTTGGATGAGATGTATAATTGTCGGTTTCACCCCGTAGTAGTGAAGTAGTTGCCAACGAACCTCTCGATCGACGCTGCAATATTAGAGGCCTTTTCATAGTCGATGAAGTTGAGATAGAGAGGTAACTGCTATTCCAAACTTTGTTCAATGATGATCCGTAGTGTGGTGATTTGATCAACACATGACTTGTTTCTCCTGAATTCAGCCTGTTTCGGTCGAATTTTTTCATCCAGGGCATGTTTGATTCTCTCCAGGATGATGCGGCTTAGTATTTTGATTGGGATGGACACGAGCATAATTCCGCGCCAGTTCTTGCATTGACTTAGGTCTCCTTTCTTTGGCAGTTTGAATAAGCAGCCTTTCTTCTAGTCCTCGAGTACCTCTCCCTCTTTCCACACCTTCTCCAGTAGTGGCGTCATCAAGTCCGCTGATGTCTCGGGGTCCATTTTCAATACCTTTGCTGGGATTCCGTCTGGTCCTGCTGCTTTTCCAGTTTTAAGCACCTTTATTGCCTTCAGGATTCCTGCATTCGTCGGAGGATTGATGCCCACTGTTAGTTCGCCTTCCGCTGTTGGTATTATTGAGCGTGTTGTAGGTGGCGGTCGATTTGGAAGTCTTCTGAAGTGTTCAGCCCAGTGTCTCCTTTGCTTCACTTCTTTGGTGAGTGACTTTCCATTGTCATCCTCCACTAAGTTTCAAGTCACACAAAGACAGGGGGCTAGCAATGCTCTAATTGATTGATTGATTGTCTACATGAATGTAGGTGGAGATTTGAGTTGGGACACTTCCATTTCATACCTAACCACCCCTCTCCCCAAGGCAATGCATTAATCTTCCACATGTAGAACAAATGAAGCTTTATGCAGAACAATGGTTAAACAAGGAAAAAGCATACCATCACCCCATATCTAAATATATATTAAAGTGATCAATTGTTTTAATTCCAATGAGTGTTGATTTACTAAGAGCAGAAAAATGTATTATTACACTTACATAGTGAGTGCAGATACATCAATATATACATAATATCCAGCTAATGTTTATTGTCAATTCAATTTCTATTTCCCCGTTGATTGATTTTACTTAAATTTTCAACCTCTTTTGGGTAACATGTCGCTGGTGCTTGTGCGGATGCTTCGGCGCGATTCTTGAGAACTGACTTGAAGTAATTTAGTAGATGGTAACGACTATCAGTGGGATCTTAGGCGTGCTGCATCTCGTCCCATTTAGGACTCGTCAACTGCTTGTTCCTTCATTCCCCAGTGAGTGAGTGAGTGATGGTGTTCTCATTAAGGCTTGAATCCAGTAACTTTGTAACAACAAGACAAGACCCAGGCAACAGATCATTTATTAAGGAAAATCAATTTTAATGTAGATTATTGTTAGTAGAAAATGCAGTCTTTTGATTGGTTATTTCTCACAGAAAGTTAACCTTGCATCATCCATATGCTTACTGTATCCGGCTACGCAAAGCCTTTGTTCTCATTTTCTCACCACCAATATTGGGGACATAAACATTGATGTCAATTACTGTCTACCAACTTTGGCTAGCAGCCAGCTCTCACCACAACCTTAGTTTCAGACTCAGCTTTTGATGTTTTATAACCTAAACTATTGAATGATCTGTCTGTTTATTGTAAAGCCTAGCTTTGTTAGCTATAATGCAAGTTGATTTAACACTCATCATCTGACGGTTTTTTGTGAGCATTACTACAGATTTCAGTGTGATGAACAACTGTCCATCGCAAATAACTTGGAACCTGATACAATCGAATGTTTCACATTCAAGCTAAAATTCTCTCTAATTCCATATTAGATAAATTTATTTCAAATATCACACAGTCATGCAGAATTATTAACTGGATGGCGTCACGAGCATAATTTATTGTTCAATATCTTATGATGTGATCCACACGGATTCGCTGCCAGTTTCTATATCTCCGGTATAGGCGTTGCATCAATTTAATTGCACATGTGCGGTGTTGAATCGACAAACAAAGATTGAGTGATTAACCTCTTTCTACCCTTTCTCTACCCAACTGTATTACTTCTTAATGTTGTCACCCTATCCCACCGTATTGTGTGGTTACATGCAAGTGAAAACACTGCAATGGCTGAGCTCTGTTTTTTTTCTAGGTTATTTAACTTATTAGGGTCAATCATTCTAGCTCTAGCTATATGTCTATGCTCCAATCATCCAATTGACCCTGATCTATTAGCTTGAACTATGTGTGTGTGTGTGTATGTAATTGATCTCAGAGTCATAGCATGGTATTTTTTAAATTATATTATTTTTCTTAATTGGATCTATCGGATCTTTAAACTGACAAAGTTTATTTCTGATTGAACTGGTTGGTTATTATTATTGTACTATTATTGTTCCCTTGCTGCCTTCTCAGCTTCTGTTGCCAGGTTGTCGTAGAATTGTCTTTTGTCCTTCCTGGCACTCTTCTTCACTTCTTTGTCCAGTGCTGTGTAAGTTGAGCTCAGCGTCTCTTTCTCTTGTCCATCTTTGCATTGAATCATTTTCTCTTTCACCATTCTCCTCTCCTCTATTAGCTTCCAAGTGTCCGTTAAGAGCCATTCCTTGTCTTGTCTCTTCTTTCTTCCTAAAACCGTTGAACACGTTCCGTTGAAAATCACCTTCAGAGAGTTCCAATGGTCTTCTACGCATGATTCTTCCGTGATGTCACGTAGTGTTTCCTGCTTTGCTCTGACAGTTGCAGTCAAAGTGTCCTTTGTGGTTGTGTCCTTCAGTTTTTGCGTGTTGAACTTGCATTGTGGCCTATTCCCAGCTATCCTCGAGGCTTTTAGTTTCACCCCGAAAGTCGCTTGTACTAGATAGTGGTCTGAACCCACATCTGCTCCTCTCCTCGACCTTGTGTCGTCTCCACTTCCTTGAGATTGGAATGAAGTCTATCTGGTTTTTGGTGTGTGTCCATCTTGTGAAATTCATGTCGCTTTGTGTATATCCCTGTGTTTGAACACACTGCCTTCAATCACCAAATCATTGAAGGCGCAGAAGTCTGAGAAGAGTTCACCATTTTCGTTCATTTCACCGAGGGCCTCACGACCCATGGTGAGTTCTCTTCCTGTATTGTCTCCTCCCAGCTTCGCATTCATATCACCCATCAGGATTTTGATATCGCCATTTGGGACGTTGTCCATTACTGCTTGTAGTTGTCTGTAGAAGGCCTCCTTCTTCTCTTGTTCTGAGATGTTTGTAGGCGCATAGCATTGAATGATTGTAACCTTCCTTCTTTTTGAGTTGAACCTGGCTGTCATTATCCTGGAGGAGATTGGTTGGATGGTTGGTTGGTCTAAATACCACCTTGATTCAAGCCTCATTGAGAGTTCTACCTAAGGCCTCTGATGTGTTCCTTCTCTATAAGATAGTACGTAATACAGTCTCTCCAATAACTATATGTTATCTAACTTTCTTGTTTTAATTGTTCTCTTTTGTAGAATCAAAGTATTCCATTCCTATCAACGTGTCTGCCAGGTCTATTGGAAGCGATCATGAATGCTTTAAATGAACCACTTCCATCAGATCAACCAACATTAAGTGAAGAAAGAAAACTTCTACGTCGTGGTTATCTCCAGTTATTACAAAGTATATATCAGTCAGTACCAGATGTATTTTCACAGCTTATTAGTGAAAATATTGTACAAGTGAGTTGTTGTTTTTTGTTCCTAGGTTTTATATTTGTCTGCACGCTTATTATCTATTGTCTATTGCACAGGCGTACATAAGAGCGAACGATTAGGGAAACTATGGCAAGTGAAGCAGAGCAAGCTGCAGTGCAGGCAAAGGAGACCTCGCAATACTTTACCTACCAAACAACTAGGTACCTATCGGGGAAAAATTCAACACAAATTAGACCAGTCGAGGATGACAGGATGGAGAGTCAATCACCAAAGAGGTGGAACAAAGGAAACACTGGTCTGAACACTTCAAAAGACTTCTAAATCGACCGCCACCTACAATGCGTCCAATAATACCAACAGCGGAAGCAGAACTACCAGTGGACATCAACCCTCCAACGAGTGCAGGAATCCTGAAGGCAATAAAGATGCCTAAAACTGGAAAATCAGCGGGACCAGATGGAATCTCAGCAGAGGTATTGAAAATGGACCCCGAGACATCAGCGGACTTGATGACGCCACTACTGGAGAAGGTGTGGAAAGAGGGCAAGGTACCTACCTGCGGATTGGAAGGAAGGCTACTTATTCAAACTACCAAAGAAAGGAGACTTGAGTCAATGCAAGAACTGGCGCGGAATTATGCTCGTGTCCATCCCAATCAAAATAATAAGCCACATCATCGTGGAGAGAATCAAACACGCCCTGGATGAAAAACTTTAACCCGAACAGGCTGGATTCAGGATGAATAAGTCATGCATCGATCAAATCGCAACACTACGTTTCATCATTGGGCAGAACTTGGAGTGGAAGTCAATTCTCTATCTCAACTTCATTGACTTTGAAAACGCTTTCAGTAGACACCGTCGATCGAGAGGTGATTTGGAAACTACTTCGCTACTAGGAGGTGCCACCGACAATTATACATCTCATCCGACAGTTGTACGACAATGCTGCATTCCAAGTAATCCACAACGGGAAACTTACGGCTACCTACTGTCTCCAATGATTTTCCTGATTGCGGTAGACTGGATAATGCGACAGACATTGGGCGACGAGGAAACAAGCATAAAATGGGCCCACACAAAAACTTCTAGGATCTGAACTTCACCGATGATGACATATGTCTGATTTCCCACAAACTGGAAGATATGCAAGCGAAAAGCAACAAGTTGGCGGAAGAAGTATCAAAGATAGGACTTCAGGTGAACATAGAGAAAACAGAGGTGACGCAGATTCCTGGTCAACAGTAACAGCAACAACAACAACAGGCAACAATCAGCATAAATAGGAGAAATCTGGAAGAAACCACCTTCACTTACCTACCTGGGAAGCATCGTTTCAACTACAGGCGGATGGAACTGATGAGGATATCAAGACAGCGAGGATTGGGAAAGCAAAGCAAGTTTTCATTACTCTCAAGTCTGTGTGGTGGTCAACAGCACTACTCAGCATGAAGAATACGATCCGGATTTTCAACTGCAATGTGGAGTCAGAGCCACTTACCATACGGATCAGAGACTTGGCGAATCAGGAAGGGCACTTGAAACAAACTACAGACCTTCATCAACAACTGTCTTCGTTCAATGCTCAAGCTCAGATGGCTGTTCAGAAAAGATCAGCAACACGAAGGGATCTCTGGCAATGAACAAGCCAACGCAGCAAGAACCAATTGTGCAGCAAATATGCAGGAAGAAATGGAGGTGTATGGGTGGCCATACTCTGAGAAAACAAACCAACCAAAAGGCAGATATTCATTATTCTGAAATCACTGAGGGAATCTGCTGCATTCAGAATAAAGAATAAGATTTGGATTTTCAACAATGACTTAGTGTGTCACCGTAAGCTTCACGAACAGCCTTAACAATTTTTATCAACTGTTGCCTCTGCTGCTTACTAAAGATTAAACGGTCAATTAGAAAGGATTAGCAGAAAGAAATTTGAGTACAAACCAACAAAGAGAACGTCATAGTTCAACAAATATTCCGAGGGAAGTGAAGATGGTTCAGACATAATCTGCAGAGGGTCATTCAGCGACGTGTGCTAGGTCATCTCTCGAATGAAAAACGATGAATTGAGCGTCACTTCAAGGAGATGACATAGAGGAGATCGTATAAAGAAGATGAAGGAGATGATAGTTTGTATGATCAATCGTGGAGTCAGCTGAATAAAGAGGACGACAGAGAACAAAATGAACTAGAGATTTTCTAATTTAGGTGTATGTTGTATTCGGAACCCAAGGGGAATAAGAATTACGTTTCAAGGTCAAGTTATCCTAACTCTCTAACTTATTTATTCTACTTATCAACATGGCTTTCAAACTCCTGTTTCAGTTGTAGTATGGAGTAGTATCTGTGACATCGAAGGAATTGTTATCGCTTCAGAGGTTCGATTTCGTGTCATCCAGTGACTGACTGATTGAGTTTCAACACAGAACTTCGAACACATGTACATCAGTTCAAAGGTAGACAAAAGGGATTCAAAAGAACTCTGAGGCAGGGAGGGGGGGAGAGAACAGGAATAATGTGGAGAAAACATGACAGCTTAGTGAATATATATGAGAGTATGAAGACTAAATCCATTTGCACCAGTGACAACGATTTCCAACTATATCACCAATTGTCTCAAGCCATTTGCTTCTTGATGTCCCTATGGCTCCAGCTAGCCAGTCGACATCTGTGTATGTGTGTGTGTGACTGAAACCAGACAGTCAAAGACGACTTCATGAATTGATAGCTCGACATGAATAGTAACACATGTCCTAGCCATCTCAAATGATGTAGCTTCACTACCTCATCGATCGATCGATCTACTTACTCTCGTCACCTAAATACTCGACACTTACCCACAGTATTGCTCATCATATTATGCCAACTAACTTATGTATTCTATATATGAAGATGAGTTGCACTGGGAAACCTGGGAGTACTGGTCAGCCGTTTCATCCTAGCTTGGAACTCCTCAACAGTACGCGCGCACCGCCAGGGTTTGAACCCATGACCTTCTGGTTACAAGGTTAGCGAGCTGGTGGACCCATTAAGCAGCAGGTTGGAGATGGGGCAATAACTCATAGAAGAAGACATTGCGAAGCGATCGCGATATGTCATGAATTGGCAGAAGTTCGAATTCACCGGCTGGTCATTGAATCGGGTCTCAGTGGTTTAATGGCCTTGTAACTAGAAGGTCCTGGTTTCAAACCGTGGCGGTGGATGTGTACTGTTGAGGAGTTCCAAGCTAGGATGAAACGCAGCTGTCCAGTACTCCTTGTTGGTTTTCCAATGGTTATTCTCTAACTGATGTCAGCTCATTATGAAATCCGCGCCAACCAATCAAACGAGAAAATCCCTACAATACCAATACTTGAAAATTCTTGTTTCAATAATAGATTTTAAGCTAGTCAGCTGATATTAATATTATTATAATCAGCAATAATCCAGTTACTCACAAACGAAACTGTGTGCAGACATTGTTTAAAAGAGTTCAGACACATTGTAGCACTCCAGAGTTGAAAAGAATTGAAGAAAAGTACCTACAAACGGTCTTCAAAAAGAATGGTTATCCACAAAATTTCATCAAAAAGTGTTTAAAGTCGAATCAAAACACCAACAAGAAACCATCATCAAAGACCACAAGAAAATTCATTCTACCATACATGAGGAATATCTCTGAAATAACAGCTAGAATACTGAAACCGTTTGATATAGATATAGCACACAAGCCAGTCAAATCGCTTAATTCGATATTATGCAAACCAAAAGATCCAACAGAAAAAGGGGATAAAATTAATACCATTTTCAAAATAAATAGTATGAACTGCAACAGGCATTACATCGGCCAAAGTGGGCGTCCCCTTCGAATCAGAATCCAAGAACATAAATCAACCGTGAAAAGACATGATATGTATTCTTTAGTATCAGTGCATGCAGACAATTATGGTCGTTAATTTGATTGTTATAATGTCAAAATCTTAGACAGAGGAAACACCAAAAGTGCAGTCAGGGAATTCCTAGAAGCCTGGTACTCAAATGAAAATACAATTAACAAACACGCTAATATAGACGAAATATACCAACTAATAAAAAGTAAATCAGGTGACCAAAAAGTTTAAAATTCAAGTCAATAAAAGATGGTCAATACATATATGTAATACAGATGGTTACCTGGAGAGGCAATTATATCACTCATGAAGAAATTTAAATCATTTCACTTTAGGCTAACTATTGCTCTGAAAGGGGTTGTTGTCCAGAAGGACGACAAAAGCTCCGCAACTAAGCCAAAGAGCTCAGAGAACACTATTAATTGCAATAGTGGTGTTAGAATTAGAAGGCTTTTCATGGTTGCTTAGTTACGTAAATTACGTAAATGATAATCACTGAACATAACAAATAAAATAATTTACTTTATTCTGTTGTTTTATTTTGAGTTTACTTGTATCTTAATCGCACTTTTCATATCAACCTTTTCGTTTTCGTTTTCTCTTTCTTTTTTTCTTCTTCAGAGTCTTTCCACAGTTTTAGGACAAGTTCAAGCCTGTCTAGAATGTGAAGATCCAGTTGGTCTACGCTCAGGCATAATATTATTTTTACAATTAATACAATCAGCTGGTCATGATACACGATTCTATGAAGATTTTCTATTGTTACACTTTATTCCATTTTGTATACTTGCTCCAATCTCTCCTGCATTTCATACAACTGATGGTCAATTCATATTGATTTTAGATAAAATTTCTGAGTGCCTATATATTTTGTCACAAGAACAGGTGAGTTCCGTTTTTCTCGACAATTATTAGTTTCAGTTAGTTTCACTATTGCCCATATTTGTGCGTCGGTGGCACAGCTATTTTGGTGTTCTGGATTATGCATCAGACAGTGAGAAACGAGAAGACAGAGATATCCTGGACCGACGTGAAGAATCTAGAAAACCTGGATTTCGCACGTGGATGATTTATGTTTGATGTCACACAAAATCGAAGACTTACAAGCGAAAACCGACAAACTGATCGAAGAGGCTGGCAGCAAAGACAGGACTCCAGGTGAACATAGACAAGACGGAGGTTATGAAAATAACTAACCAACCAACCAACAACAACAGCAGCAACATCCACCACCAATCACCATCAACGGGAGGGATTTGAAAGAGGTTACTTCATTCACTTATCTAGGGAGCATTGTCTCAACTACAGGAGGAACAGACGGACGAGGATATCAAATCGAGAATCGGGAAGGCGAGAAACACATTCATCAACCTGAAACCAATCTGGAAATCTTCGTCACTCAGCCTGCATCAACAACAAAATTCGGATTTTCAATACAAACGTCAAGTCAGTCAGTTCTTCTATACGGATGGATCAGAAACTTGACCAGTGTGTCACAAAGAATATTTCCAACAGCCTGTTGCAGACCTTTATCAACAGCTGTCTTCGTTCTATACTGAAGATCAGATGGCCGGAAAGAATCACCAACAAGAAACTATGGGAACAAACAAAACAAGAACCAATTGCTCAACAGATATGCAGAAGAAAGTGGAGATGGATTGGACACTCACTGGCTGAGGAGGCCGCTGGGTGACATCGCGCGTCAGGCCAACGCTCGAGTGGGACGTCAGTGCAAGGGTGTCATGGAGGAGATCGTGTGAAGAAGAGTTGAAACAGTATGGATTAATATGGATGCAGGTGAAAAGTACAGTAGAAGACAGAAGCAAGTGGAGACGAGCAGTTGAAGCCCTATGTTCCACTAGGAACCAAGGGGAATAATAATAATAACTGGCCATAAAGCTATCACCTGTGGACACATGCTCAACTCATTTTAGCCCCATTCGTGTTTTCCTCGACATTAGAAAGAAGAGAACACGAAGTTCAGCAAAGATGTTGATCTTTTCGGCGATTTCATTTTCAAAAGCAACTGTACAATCGCATTTAATTACACAATTTTACATAGATACAATTCTTGTTTGATTCCACATAATTACGACGGCGAATAAAAGGTGACAATTATTTTCAACTAGATCTGGTTAGAAACAAAATTATTAACACAGGATTAGAACAGATAACAAGTGTGTAAAAAATGAGCATGGAAACAAAATTGAAATAATAATTTTCAACTTGAGATGGGAGTTAGGAGGTGTGAATATGTAGATTACAAGAGCCTTAGAAACACAAAAAAAATTGCACAGGATTGAGATATAATTGTAAAGTAGTTATTTTGAAGGAATTATAAATGTGAGCAGGAAAAGCATGGAAATAAACTTAAAATAACTATTTTTATAACTGAAAAAATGGGGTGAATCGAATGAAGACAGAAGGAGTAAGAATCACACACACAGCGAACGAAAAAAGATCAAAAAAAGAGTACGAAAGACGAGAAAAACGGAAGCTAAGGGAACATACCGAACTAGGTTCATCGTAGTTGTAGAGGTTGTGGACACTCACTGTTTATAAAGGTACATTTAATGCATTTTATGATTATCATTATTATTTCTTTGGGTATCAAGTGGAAAATACATCCTCAGCAACACATCTCCATTGCTTCCTGTTTTCTGCAGGTGTCTTTAGCTAGCTGAACGATTGTCCATAGGTCTGTCATCTCCTCCTGACATGATCCCATCCATGTCACCCTCAGAGTGACATCCAACTAGTGGTTTCCCGTTTGGGTTCCAGTCAAGGATATGCCCTTGTTTGCCAAGTATCTGACCTCTATAAAAGAACTTATTACTATTATTGTTTCCTTTAATTGGTAGAAAAACATAGGGATTCAGCCGTGCGTCTCCATTGCGTTCGCTTCTCTGCTAGAGTCTTCACCTGGCTCCAAGTCTGTCCACACGTTTTCATCTCCTCTTCACATGACCTCCTCCTCCAAGTCACCCTTGCACTGACGACCAAATAACTCGTCGCTTCCCTTTCGGGTTCCACTCGAGCAATGGCTTGTCTAGTGATGTCACTAGATGGTTTGTTTCCTCAGAGTATGGCCAATCCATCTCCATTTCTTCCTGCCTATTTGTTGCACAATCGGCTCCTGCTGAGTTGGTTCGCTCATTGCCAGAGATCCCTGTTGCTGATCTTTTCAGACCGGCCATCTGATCTTGAGTTGTATTGAGCGAAGACAACTGTTGATGAAGGTCTGTAGTTTGTTTGAGATGCTCTTTATGACGCACTGGCCAAGTCTCTGATCCGTATAGTAAGTAGCACTGACTGACTTCACATTGGAGTTGAAAATCCGGATCTAATTTCTCATGATGAGTGCTGTTGACCTCCACACAGACTTGAGAGTAGTGAGATCTTGCATTGCTTTCCCAATCCTCGCTGCTTTGATATCCTCATCAGTCCCATCCTGCTGTAGTTGAAACTATGCTTCCCAGGTAGGTTGTTTCTTTCAGGTTCCTTCCATTTATTCTGATCGTTCTCTGTTCTTGTTGTTGCTGTTGTTGGTGTTGACCAGGAATCTTCATCACCTGTGTTTTCTCAATGTTCACCTGAAGTTCTATCTTCTCTGGATGCTTGTTCTGCCAACTTGTTGCTTTTCACTTGCATATCTTCCAGTTTCTGGGAAATCAGACATATATATGTTATCGGCGAAGTCCAGATCCTCCAAGTATTTTGTGTGAGTCCATTTAATGCCTGTGTCCTCATTGTCCACTGTCTGTTTGTCGCATTATCCAATCTACTGCAATCAGGAAAATCATTGGCGATAGTAGACAGCTTTGTCGTACAGCTTACTTACTTGACATTTTTGTTGAAAGTGTGAATCGTGTTCTGTAATTCTGCAGAGTGCAGAGAAAATTATTTACAAAAACTGATTCTTAGAGTAATGAAATTCTGCCTTGCCTCTCTCCAATTCCGGTTTTGATATCCTGATGCACCCGCCTCAGCCTGTATTTGAAACAGCGCTGCCAATATTAGTGAGCGAAGAGATCGGATATTTCGGTACAATCAGTACAAATATTGCTGCGTCTAGTGCAACGTTTTTGTTAAATAACATTGATAATTATGGCTCTTCTACCACTTACAATATGAGTGGAATCTCTTCTATCGACAGAATATGTTGTTAGTAAAAGCCACAAAAACATCCTCGATATTTTCATCCTCTTATAATTGAATTATGCAGTGTAATTTGGAATTGTCCATTGCTATTTAACGTTTGTGTGTGTGTGTGTGTCGGTGGTTGAATGGTACAATGTCCGTCAGCCACACACACACACATACACACACAGATGAGATCCGGGTGTGTTTCCTAGCTAATGATAAACTTCTAAATCGCGGTTATTGTCGCTTAGTGTCCGACAGTATGCTTTGAGCAGAAGGAGAAGGTTGTGAGTATGAATAAGACTAGGAACCTCTCTCTATTCGTCGCTGATACTGATACTACTTCCACTCGAAACGTTCTAGGAGTGAGCAATGCATTTATTTAACCTGTTTACTTTTGTTGTTATCTATCTTGCCAATTCTCCTGATGTAATTATTGGTTTATTTTGTTTCCTTTGTGTTTTTTTGACAGGATGGCCTTCATACTTATTTAAAAGACTATTTTCTACCAAGACAACAATTATCTCCGGAATTAATTCAGTCGTATACTACTGCTTTAAAATCGAATCTTAAGGATTTTCAATCATTCATTAGGGTAAGTTATTGACTGCTAACAACCCACCTACCGCTTTCGCCCCCGCCCCCCTCCCCCCCCCGACTGAATCATCCTAAACGGGTAGGAACTTAACTCAAACTAGCATGTGTTATACATACATGAGTAATCATATTGACAGTTGTTACGTTTTTCGCCTCTGTAACTACTAACCCACTAGTCAGTATCGTTGATGGAGTATCTGTTTTCACGTTGGATTCGGTGAGCGCCGCGGTCGGTCGCGCTATATATTTTGAGAATTAGCCATAGTAAAAATTCATGGGCCATTCAAATCTAGTACCAAGTAGGCGAATGAATGATCTGAACAACGTGTTTGCCTTTGTAATCTGAACACTTGGAGTTCGATCCCTTACAGTAAGTAGAGTATGTGATGGGTGCGTATTGCCAAAATGCCCTAAACTAGGGTGAAACAGCTGTACTATCTAGAACTTTGCACATATGTCCGGCAGTTCAAGTCGCCACACTCCATGTAGCACACAAAGCAAGAGAAGAAATGCATAATATAGACAGTAAACAGAGGTGTGAGACAAAGGAATAGTAATAACAAAGAACAAAACAGTTTCATTGGAAGTCATAAGTCATCTGCGCCACTGAGAACGATTTTGAGCCATATCACCGATTGTTTCCAGGCATTGGTGTTTGCGGTCCCGAGGACCCCAACCAGTCAGTCAGGAAGTCTACACCTTCCTACGTGACTGGTTGGTTTAAACTAACTGTTGTAGATTTCATTGACTGGTGTCATGTTTTCGTTTGACCGCCGCTAGCTCTTGTCCAGTCTGACCCTATATCAGCTAACATTGCCTGTCGGTCGAGGAAGGCGATGACTAGGCATACGTAACATGTGTTAACCATCTCAGTCGATGTAATTTCACGGCCTCGTCGATTGATTTCCCTTCCTTACGTAGAACTCGACCGAAGCCTTACCTCAATATAGCTCACTTCAGTATATATACCACTTCACGCGGGAGATAGAGCGCGGACACCTATGATCAAAGACAGCTAATCTTTTTATGTCTTCCGCTCTCAATGGCCAGGTCTCACAGCTATGATGGGAGACAGAGCGGACTGTTGAGCAGTACACACACCCTTTGGTCGATAGCCAGTCGGATATCACGTCTACTCTTCAGTTTAGTTTTCAGTGGTTTTGTGATGCGACTTGGGACAAACCAAATTTGTATGAATTAACTCTGGAATATTTAGTTTAAGCATAGTGGTTAGAACTCTCGCCGACCGTGCACAGGATCCGGGGTTCGATCCCCCCTGCCAACGCACAACTGATATCTATGGTTGGCCTGCAAAATTTGGGCTACCGATATCACATGCTGAAAATTCCATACTTGTACGAAAAAAATACGGTGTGGAATCAAGCTGTAATCAAAAAATAAAATGAAATATACTTCCTTCAAAAGAATTAATTATATTTTTTATCGTTATGCTTTGTTTGCCTATTGGTATTATTGAAAATAATCTATATGAATTCTCATTTAACTGGTTCAGTATAAACAAATATGCATTGCTTGTTTAGATGTGATGAAACTTGAAGCTTCTTACTACCACATCATGTACATACACGCACACACACACACACACATTCATATATCTATGCGTGTGTGTATGTCTGTGTGTTTGTGCGCGCGTGCGCGTATTTAATAGTGCTTAACTATTGAGGTTATGTAATAGACACACTTTGTCGTGTGTTGTATGAATTGATCTAGATGTAGACTTTCTTTAAAAACACTCATTATCTTCTTCATGTTGTCTGTGTTACGTCATGCATTTTATTCCACTTAATGGATTTGAATGGTGCGTCGGTGGTACAGCGGTTAGGACGCTCACCGACCATGCACATGGTCCGGGGTTCGATTCCCGGCCGACCCACTCCTCTACCTCGCTAAGCCAGAAATGATGCTGGTGAAGAGGAAAGGTTGGGCATGAGGTTAGCAACCCCATCCTGTAAAATAAACACTGCTACAGAATCTTCAAGCCACTAGCTTGAAGCCCTATGTTCCGCTGGGGAACGTGAAGGAAAAAAAATGAATTTGAATAAAGCAAGAAGAACAACAGTGCAGAATAATATGTGGTACCATCATCGCTTATTTTCTTGGCTTCTCATCAGCTCAGCTGCTTGCTTGCAGCCTAAATGAATTATGAGGTTTGTGTACAGAAAAGTTTTAACATACTTGCAAATTTTTCATAATGTCAGTTGACAGGAGGAGGCTTCAAACTTAATGATGAACAGTGCTCAGAAAATTGCGCTTATGTAGTAGTTTTTACACAGGCAGTTCAAGTTTAAACAAAAATAAATATATGCACACAATGAATGGTAAAGGAGTTAAGTAATAAGTGTGAGAGATGCGTAAGATATTGAGTGACTAATAAATTAGGTAACAATGTACTGAGTTCAACTCATGTCGTGGAACCATGAGACAAGCAAAGTTACACTATATTTCAAAGTGCGATAAGGTTAAAACCGAAGATTACGTTATCAAGTGAAAGAGATAATAAGGACATCCAGTTACCAGGCAGGGTAAGGAAAGACTATTAACTGGCTTTTTTATGAACACACACATTCATCCGGTCTCAAGCGTTTGATAGAAATTGCTTCGGTAAACTTGAAGAGAATCGAACTCCTTTGTATATTGATAATTTTCAAGGATTTCGCGATTTTCCCCTCATGACCCGTATCAAGGAGATACTTGGTAATGGCACTGTTATAAGTATTTATTCTCCGCTGGGGACGTAGGCTTTTCGGTACATGTTCAGACGATTGGAGATATGCTGTTCTTTTTTCTCTTCTTTCAATGTAATTGCTCCCGCAGTTACACGTAAATTTGCATACACAGTTAGAGTTAAGATGAGAGAAGGGTATCTTGTTGACTTTTGACTGCACCAAAGAGCATGTTGTCCGATGGACGGGAACCAACTTAGCTAAAGAATAGGCTCTGGCTAGTGACGTACTCAGTCTTGTGGTGATCATTGCTGCGAGGTCTTCACCTTTAAAATCTAGTTGAATGAGGGCAGGCTTTTTTTCAAATGTGATTTTTTCGATGTTTGAGCCTTCACATCTTCGATATTTGTTCATGAATCTTTGAAGATAGCCGTTGTTTTTGAACATCTTGTTGAGAATCGTAAATTCGTCCTCTAGTTTCTCTGCAGACCATATTTTTCTCGCTCTGTATTGCAGAGTCTTGACTAGCACCCGTTTAAAACTATTTGAACGAAAACTATTAAAATGTAAGTATTGTCCATCCCTTGTCTGCTTTCGATAAATTGACCTTTGGAGATTATCATCTAGGTGTTGCATGGCAATGTCAAGGAAGTGGAACTTTCCATCATATTTGTGGTTCATAGTAAATTCACTATTTGTATGTGTGTCGTTGAATAATCTGAGTAGGTAGGAAGCATGACTTTCATTGTTGCACACTACAAATGTGTCATTGACATTAAGAAGTTGTTTCGTCGATTGCGGACTTTGAATTTGTTCTTTCAAGGCTGGACATGAATATATCTACTAAAACAGGGCTAAGTGGACTACCCATACCTACACTATGTATTTATCAGTAAAGTGTTGTCAAACTGGAATCACACATCCATGGTACACATTAGCAGTAGGTGTTTGAATTCCGACTCTGGTAGTGGGAGAATATCAAACTGTTGACAAATGATCTCATTGGTTTCAATAATTGGGATGATTGTGAACAAGGAGGTTGCATCGAATGACTCCGTGAACTTATGTGAAACGTTCATGTGATTCACAATTTCGGCGAAATGAAATGAGTCTTTCATGGTGTGCACGGCTAGCCATTGACTAGTGGGTTTCAACTCCTCTGCAAGCCAACGAGCAACCTTATCTTGGGGCGAGTTGATCATCGAAAGTATAGGTCCCAGAGGGACTTCTTTCTTGTGTGTCTTTGGAAGACCATACATATGCGGCAAACAGGACCCTTGGGGTTTCAATTCATTGTACGTGTTGTTTTCAATCAGTTTCTTCTTTAGAAGATCTCTCAGGACGTTTGTGACGCGTTTTTTAGTTGCATCTGTCTTGTTTTCCTGGCATTCGTCGACTTAAAACCTCAGTTTTTTATCTTTGCAATGTTGTCATCTCTGTGCATCAACACCACTTCTGAGCCTCTGTTAGGTTGCGGTATGACAATTTTGTCATTATTTCCGAGAGCCTTCAATGCTTTTTGATGCTCTTTAGAGAGGATTTTCGAATATGACGTTGGTAAAATGAGGTATTGATTTCTGTGTTAGCTTTCGTGTGAAGTACTGGTGGTTTCTTTCGCGTTCTACTTATTACACGAATAGAGAGAGAGAGAGAGAATTCAGTCCCCCCTCCAAAAAAATATGCCGTGTGATTTCACCTCGGACTGCATAGATTTCGAATTGTGATTTTAATCCAGTATATTACAGGTGTTCACTTAAAAGAAGTTGGTCCGTTCGGGACTCGGTTAATTTGAACTGATTCCGCCCTCTCCCTCTCTATCAACTGAGTTATATTTGGGAACACAGCTGATAAGTTAGACTCCAAACGAGCGAAACGGTCATCCGGCGGTGTTAAGATCATTTCAATCTGGCTGGCTGATGAGCCGTACTAACTGATGTGTGAGTAGGTCCAACTGCTCATATCAGTCATTCAGTAATATAAATCGAGAGACTGTCCTGCATCTCTATTAAAATTTACTTTCTTATACATGCAATACAACTTCTTAAAAGCTCAACCTCCTGACTAATCTTCCATTTTAGAGTCCTGAGTAGTGCAAATCATTATCTATCTGTAGATTTCTCTCTCTCATTTCATCTTGGTTTGTGTGATTGTGTATTCATCATTGAAGTCGTCCTTTGAAGTATGTTGTTTCTCATCAGACTTCTTTTCCCATAAATGTACACAAAAGACGAACGACTGGTAGTTTCTACACCCGCTCCCCCTCCCCAACAAACACGCACACACACAAACTTTAATTGTAGTGTCACCCTCTTCGACGCGCCAGTGTTAGCTGATCAATGCTGATTAGGTTGAAAGAGAGCTAGTGAAGAGCAACCCCCCACCCCCCAACGTGTGGACTGAATGCACCGAGTGAATAAGTTTGTTTACTTTCCAGAGTTGCTTTGTAGGGATTTGATTTATTTCAGATCGAAATCAGTTTGACAGACATCCGTTGAAAACCCCCAGGGAATACTGGACAACTGTTTCATCAGTCTAGTGTGGAGTTCTCATCATCAGCACACACACCCACCTGCCGGGACCCGAACCTCAGGACCTTCCGGTTGCAAGACAAGCTCATAGACCATTCAGTCACCGGGAACCCGACTCAATGGTTATCCTATTGTCTCTGTTTCTTTCACGTCCCGAGTGGAACATAGGCGGCTTCAAGCCTCTTGAGCTATGAAGTTTCAGTACCTGTGGTGTTGTTGCTTTTTCACGAGGTCGACTGGTTGGTCCCATGTCCAACCTTTCTTTGTTTTTACCAGGCTTATAATAATAATAATAATAATTTGCTTTATTTCAAAACAGTACTTGTGATAGAGAATGGAATTCTCAGCACTTTTTACTACAGTATTGCATCCAGTTAGTACATTATCAATAAATAGAATTCTACATAGACTAAGGAAATCTCAGTTCATTATGACAATAACATATTGGCATGTCAGTAGGAAAGCCAAAGCTGAACAGTGTTTGAAGGTGTTAGAAAAGTAGGTGCTGTCATATTTACTGGCGTAAGCGAGAGAAAGAAACAAAGCAGCACATAACGGAAAAAAAGAAAGAAAAAGAGAGAGAGAAAAGGAAAAGAAAGAAAGAAAATGTTGTACCTATAAATGATATGAGTTGGAAGGACGAGATCCAGTTGTTCTACTGACTATTTAATGAATTATAGGTGTCACGCCTAATTCTCTCTGAATCGCACAGAACACGAGCTAAGTAGGGTATGGTTGAGTTTTTGTACTTGCTGGTGGTGCGAGCATATAGTTTTCTATATAGTAGGCTTCTGGTTTTGCCTGATGAGATGCAAGGGGAGAGTTGTGAATGAAGAGGGTGGTGTGAGTTAGATAGATAGAATGGATTTGGCCCATTTTCCACATGAGTCCATGTGCCTGTCAACCAGAATATTAACCAGCTGGTTAAGTGGCACATTGCTTACCGTGCTGACAATCTTTAACATCCTGAGTAATAAGGTATAGTCTTTCTTCAGTAGCCCGGGAAAAACTCTCTACCAGCTAAACGAACCGGGAGTCGAACTCCAAACCACTTGAGGCATGGCTGACGACGAGTGTGTGTGTCTCTTCTACCACTGAACACAACCAGAGACTCAGACTGGCTGACAGTTTTTTTAAAAGTTCGTTTTATGCATACACGTGTGTTACATGTTGTGTAGTACAAAAAATAACATTTTTCTTTATTTTCTCTTCATTCATTAATATAGAGTTTCTATTCACGTTTCCATTAACCAACTACTGATCTCAAGTCGAAATATTATGGAGAGAATATATCCAATATCAAAAATAGGCTTGATTTGGATTCCAAATAGATCAACTTCCTATGTGTGTTTGTGTGTGTGTGTGTATCTATGTATGTATGTTTGTATGTATGTATGAATGTAGGTGTATGTGTATTTCATTCGTCGTCATGCTTTTATCCCTTGTATAAAGAAAAAACTGGAGAAATGAGGAAGAACCGCCATGTGTGTCTTAACCAACCAACCCCTACCCTCCTACAATCTCCACCACCCCCCGGCCCCGCCCTCCTTATGCATATTCATAGACCTAGACTAGACTAGAGATGCCAGCAGTGTGTGTGTATGTGAAAGGCGGAAGAGTTTAACAGAACAGAACAGACATGATTGTGATGATACTTTTATTTGCGTTTCTTTTGCTCATTTAATTTATGTAATTTCTTTCTTTTTTTTAAAAGAAATATTTTCCTTCGCTTTTTCCTTTTATCTGTGTGAAATATTAGTAATATCAGTAATAGTAATAATAATATTAATAATAATAATAATATTAATACTGGTGATTTACAACATTCCTTTAATGTGCATCTAAATCATTTTTATGTGTATTAATTATTATTATTATTATTATTACTAGTTTCTATTTTCTTAGTTTCTGTCTTTGCCTTCTTTCAACTCTCCACCACCCCCGCGCATGCTGCAGTCGTCTCCCAACTCCTCGACCTAATTTTGCCCCCCCCCTCTATCTCTCTGTCTGCACATCCAACCACCCATTTATCCTCACATACAGACTGTTTTTAACCCTTTGCATTTCTTTCAATGTGCCGATATTTGGGGAATTTGACAAGAGTGGGTTCACGGAACAGGGATGGATGGATGTGTGCTTGTGTTTGTGCTATCGGAGTCTCTTTATTATTATTATTACTTTATTTCCTTTGATTTTTCCTTCTCTGATCTCTCATCACTCAGTTATTGGTTGTTATTGTTGTTGCTGGCGTTGCTGCTATTAATTCTCTCAGGATTAAATGTGTGAAAGTTGTTCAATCAGTAGTCGGTCCTGAATGTGAAAGACTGTTTTTCTCTCTCCGCATATTTGCGTGGGTGTGTGATTAGTTCTCTTTTTATTTCTTGCTTGAATTTTAATTTCCTTCCCTCTTATATGTTTGTATATGGTGAATGTGATTATCTCATATGTTTGAATTGAATAATAATAATAATATTTAAAAGAAAAACATTTTCATTATGATGATACCATGTTTTGCACCTCATCCATGCATGCGTCGGTGATATTCGCCAGTATGGGGAATGGTGGATACTCACCGACCGATGAACCATGCCTGTGTGTGTGTCAAACAGTGTTTGATACCTGTATATAGCAACAGAAGGCGGCAAGACACGGAAGCCCAGGTATATTTTCAACTGATCAAACCGCTGTTTATATATCTACAGTTTAATAAATAATAACAGAGCGATAGTGATAATAATGATAATAATAATATTAATGACGACACCAACAATAACGAATCTAAATCATCACAGTAGTAATTCCATACAAGGAAGGAACCTCGGAAGCCTTACGCAGAATTCTTAACAAGGCAGGAATAAAAATGGCTGGCATTCAAACCACCCACAAACTCAATTAGAAACAAGCTTTGTCGGTTAAAGGATTACAGGATCCCTGTAGAGCCTTTAAAACAAAACAATTTAGTTTATCTAATACCCTGCTGGAATGATTGTCAGGTCAAACTAAGTAGAACGGGGGCAGTCAGACTAGCTGAACATAAAAATAGCAAAATCCAGATTGGTTGACCCGAATAAGATAAGAAATCTAGAGAATAGTTCAGCTATAGCACTACATGCAATTACACACAACCATACAATAGGATGACAGTCTTAAAATCTAATGTCACAGGGTGGAGGGAGAGATTGATAACAGAAGCTTTGTTTGTCGAACCAACTGGAAACACGTGTAATAGGAATGATTCAACACCTGTCCACCCAGATATCTGGAAAATTCTACTGCCCCTACGACATATAGGAGAAAACTATAAAACTCAAGTTTCAAAGTCGTGTGATTACAATTGATGTGATTATGAACAATAAATTTCGTACGAAACTTTGTCATCCAGTAAATAATACTGTTTCACTGTGTGCTATATCTAATAAACAAACTAATATGGAATTATATTCGTTAACCAATCACTGAGTGCGTGTGATTTTGGTTTACAGTAAACGACATGAAATAGAATTTTCAAATATTAATATAGTATTATGTTGCTAACGTAGTATTGAACTGTTGGAAAACTATTTTGACTCTAGCAACAAACAGAATGTTCAAAAGGAGATATATAGTATTCTTGAAAAATCCCCATTCGAACATTAATAGACAGAAGACCAGTAGTTCAGTGAAGAGTCTCTTTTCGACAGCGAATTCGTTTTCACAGCTGTACTATCGCAAATATATATATATATATATATATATATATACATGGTTGTTTTGTACGTGTGTGAACACTAAATTTGCCAAACGAAAATACAATTAGTAAGCTCAGATGAATTAAGTGTTGATATAAGAGGGTGGTAACAAAAGTGATGAATTGTCACAAACGACTGTTAAGGAAGAGTTACGTAAAAACATGAATAGTTTGATGAAAGAGTTGTGCTCAGGGTGTACATGGAAACAAAATAACGTACCCTTTTTGACAGGATGTCGTTATCCACCAAGATTCATAGACAAAAGCATCAAACAGAAAATCTAAATGCCATCCGTGCCAAAAAAGATACTTTGCATGAACCTCGACTTCAAAGGTGACCTACTCAGCGATGTCCTTGGGAGGCGAATTTCCACTTCTTTAAGAAGAACTTTCTTTGCGGTAACATTGAGAGTAGTGTTCTCCAGTCGTCCGCTGTTCTGCAGAACCCCAAAGGACAAGATCCCGCACATGACCACTTCTATGCGTATATACCAGTTCACCTATTGTTGTAGACCCAGATACATCGGTCGTTCGACGCGAATTCTGTGAAAAAGGGTCAAAGAACACCATCCAGTGTGGCCGCAGATAGGAAGTAGTGGCTGTATAAAGAGTGCAATAATCAAATATCTAGTCATTCCACCTCAACAAATGCCTAGTCCTTCAAAGTAATCTACAAAGTGAAGAACAACCTGCCAAAGACAATACGTTTCCATCTTCTTTGCATTGCAGAAGTCCTAAACCATTCATTTGGAAGAACCAGAACTATACATACAAAAGAAAATTATTCAACCACCTCTACTATCATGGTAACAACTCTGTTTATTTGACTTAACTTTTGTTTGTATGCTTATTTTTCTACCTACTTAAAACTCCTGCGTAATTCCGTATGTTATTTTGTTTCCATGTACACGCTGAGCACAACTCTCATCAAACTATTCATGTTACTACGTAACTATTCTTTAACAATCGTTTGTGACGACTCATCACTTTTATTACTACCCTCTTATACCAACATCCAATTCGTCTGAGCTTAATAATTGTTTACAGGATTTCATCATGAGCTGACATTTGTTAGAGAACCATTGGAAAACCAACAGGAAGTACTGGACAGCTGTTTCGTTCTAGTTTGGGACTCCTCATCAGTACGCACCCACCGGGGTTCGAACCCAGGACCTTCTGGTTACAAGATGAGCTCGCATACCATTAAGACACTGGGACCCGATCCAATGGCCAGTGCATGATTTCTAACTTCTGCCAATTCACGACATAGCGCGACCGCTAGCCAATGTCTTCCGTGGCGAGTATTTGTCCTCACACCCGACCTGCTGCACCCTACTGGTCACGACTTCTCATTAGAACCCCAGGTAACTGTGGGTGCGTACTGCTGAAGAGTCCCAAGCTAGGACGAAACAGCTGTTCAGTACTCCCAGGTTTTCCAACGGTTCTCTAACTAATGTCAGCTCATGATGAAATCCTGTAACCAATCAAATCCCTACAAACCAACACTTGAAAATCTTAATAATTGTATTTTCGTTTGACAAACTTAATGTTCACACACATACAAAACAACCATGTATATATATTTGCGATTTTACAGCTATGAAAATGAATTCGCTGTCGAAAAGAGACTGTTCACTGAACTACTGGTCTTCTGCCTATATAGTATTCTGTTGCTAATGCAGTATTGAACTGTGGGAATATGTGAGAATAATATCCCGTTGTCACACATTGTCTGTATCACACCACCACACCTGGACTTCAAGACATGCGTAAATCTTGCTTACCTGGCCGTAAGTTCGGCAAATATGGAGGGTTGAGCATTTGAGGCGGCTAGGAAGCTGCAGTGAGTTGTGATATCGGCATTTGTATATTTTTAAATATTCCCATTTTTTTAAAACATTTAAACAAGACATATAAGCGAGTAATATTGTTGGTTTCAATTACATCTTCTTCAGGCTTTACTCTAATTTACATAGATTTAAATATAACAATTTTAACCGATAACGGTGACTTTGTGGATCAAATAATAATAATGTAGCAAATGTTTTGAACGTCATTAATAATAATGATAACAAAATAATGACAAAAAGGTGATAAGAATAACGAAGGTAATAATATATGTATGTGTAGACAATTCAATAAATAAATTTGGTCAAATCTTAAAAGTTACGTAATACTAAGGGTGAAGTGGACAGATAATCAGACTTTAAATAAATAACATAAAAATACGAAGGAGATAGAAGATAAGAAAGGGTGGGAGGGTTTTGAATAGTATTCACCTAGGCCAAGGAATAGACAAAGGTAGAACAAACTTCTTTTGTTGTATGCAAAGACTAGGATTGTTCTCTCGAATTAATTTCCATAGCTTCGGTTATGTATAAAAGGTGGGTTCGAAAGACTCGACAGGATGTGATAGATAACTTTGAAGGCGGCACATTTTTTGTCCACTTGGTGACCGCTATCATCAATCAAATGAGCCAAAATAGAACTTCTTATAGATTTTATTTGACCTTTTCCGAACCA